AAATACTCTGTAATATACCCACACAAAACATTTTCAGTTCAGATACTGGGGTTACTAATTTACATTTAAAGTTGTTAGAAATGCTAATCCATTTTTTTAAAAAAGCAACAAATATTTCAGTGTATGTTGCATACCAAGTACTGATGATATAACTGCATTAATCTATAATCATTTTTTATGAGAAAACATACATATACCTATGAGAGAGCTAGGTAAAATGATAGATAAAATCTCTTTCCTAAGAAAAAGGTGAAATTTGGCTTGCTTAATAGAAGGTGAACAGTCTTTGGGGTCATTAAAACAAGGCCTACTAAACCAGTGAATGAAATTAAAATATCAAAATGACATGCAACAAATAAAATAGCATATACTCTAGAACTATGTATTAACAGTGATCATGGCAACTCAATGACAGTTGATTTTTATTTTTTAAGTTTTGCTATAGGTTGAATGTGCTTGCCAGAGGGAAACAGAGACAGAGAGAGTGAAGGAAAGACAAATCATGTTTCAGTGAGCATTCTACACTACGATCCCTTCTTCTCCATTCTCCTTCAGAATTTGGACACAAATGCACACATGCCCAGTGCGATTTTCAAGCTGCTGGCTCCAGACCTTTTGAGAGCTTCTTCCCCCCAAAGATTCATTAGACTTTTAAAAAATCATTCCCACTGTGCTAATTTGTAACTGTTTCAAGTTTATATTTATTTATAAGAGTTCTACAACAAATATAATTTTAATGAAATAAAGGGGATTAATTCCACAGTCTTGTTAGCTCATTATAAAGCAAAAATAAAATGTTATTTCTTTAGATTAAAATAACTTCATAATTTCTAAAGATAAACACTTCAAAAGATTTTTTTAAATAAGAAAAAAAGCTTACTTCTCTATAACATTAGCCATGTTAGCCTTTCAAAGGTACTACTGCCATAAAACAATTTGTGAATTCTAGTATGATTTACAGTGTCCTCAGTATGAAACAAGCCAAGAGCCAAAGTGTTTAAGGTATAAAATGAAAATGAAATGCATACTACTCATCAGGTTAATGTGATGCATTCAATCACTTTAAAAGATTATTATTTCAACACTATTTAAAATAGTTAATTTTTGAAAAGGCGTTAAAAATAAAACTCAGAAATCATGTGCATTTCAAAGATATGTATAAATTTCTCTTAATAATACTGTACCAAATTCTATCTTTTTAAAACAAATACAGAATCTCTAAGGGAACAATTAAAATCTATGCTCATCACAACGTTTTGGTATATTAATAGTTGTAATATCAAAGACTCGATCAGTATGTCAACAGCCCCACCACAAAATACTTATTAAAATAAAATACATAGAATTGCAGAGATGACTAGCAGAAAATATAGACAATTCCATGAACTTTCCTTTATGTGATGAAATTAGTTGTTATTTAACAGTAGTCCTTTCTAACATCACAGGGGTCATTTCCCTTAGGCAAGGCACAGTTTTAAATACTAAACATGTCATCCATTTAGTGCCAATGCAAAGCGGTTTAGCTTCAACTTAAGATTAGATCTATCAGTAAGTTTTGATTAACATATTTCAGAAAATATTGTATAACTTTAAAAACCTCATAAATCCTTTATTTAGAAAAGAAATATGGAGTTTTTTAAATAAAAGATATATCTAGGTATTTATTTATTATTTTTGTTTCTCAATTATTTATATATGTCATCCTACCTATGCATTTGTATATTAAAGATAAATTCTAAAAACATAATTAATGGAATCTTGTTTAATTAGGAAAAGAGGAAGGCCTTCATGCTTTATTAAAATAAATAAAATTAAGAACATGGTGCCCTTGTTCTGTCTGGAAAGCTATTGAATGTTAAATAAGAATATTTTAGTATATGTGCTGCCCAAGTGTGCCTGTTAAATAAAAGAATATTTAGAAAATAATATTGTGTATTTAAGAAATACTCTGTAATATACCCACACAAAACATTTTCAGTTCAGATACTGGGGTTACTAATTTACATTTAAAGTTGTTAGAAATGCTAATCCATTTTTTTAAAAAAGCAACAAATATTTCAGTGTATGTTGCATACCAAGTACTGATGATATAACTGCATTAATCTATAATCATTTTTTATGAGAAAACATACATATACCTATGAGAGAGCTAGGTAAAATGATAGATAAAATCTCTTTCCTAAGAAAAAGGTGAAATTTGGCTTGCTTAATAGAAGGTGAACAGTCTTTGGGGTCATTAAAACAAGGCCTACTAAACCAGTGAATGAAATTAAAATATCAAAATGACATGCAACAAATAAAATAGCATATACTCTAGAACTATGTATTAACAGTGATCATGGCAACTCAATGACAGTTGATTTTTATTTTTTAAGTTTTGCTATAGGTTGAATGTGCTTGCCAGAGGGAAACAGAGACAGAGAGAGTGAAGGAAAGACAAATCATGTTTCAGTGAGCATTCTACACTACGATCCCTTCTTCTCCATTCTCCTTCAGAATTTGGACACAAATGCACACATGCCCAGTGCGATTTTCAAGCTGCTGGCTCCAGACTAGACCTGCAAATTCGCCCATGTGGGACGCAGCAGTCTTTACCTCTACTCTACCTTCTGCACCAGTTGAAATTTTTTTTTTCTATTAGAAGTTTTTTGCCTTAAGGCACATTCTCTTGCCAGAGAAAGAGAGAGAGACAGAGACAGTGAGAGGGAAAGTAAGAAGTCACCCTCTAGAGAGGATGACCATGTCACAGTCTCTTCTCCTCCATTCTCCTCCCGGGATCTTGGGCATGAATTCAGGCACCCGGCATGATTTTCAGGTCACCAGGTCTGGGACTCAAAATGCAGTTGGACATGTGGATGTCCAGAGAGGTAACTGCTACATCGTCTGCTGACCCCAAGACCAGCAGAATTTTTAAAACAGATATCAAGGTAAATTTGTGGTAGCGATTGCAACACCATTGCTGATAAATCTCCTTATTTAGAGGATACAGGCAATCTGTACACTTTTAGGAAAAAGAAAGCAATATTTGGAGGTATGATCTGTGACACTATAAATCTAGTTCTTCAAATTTTCATTTAATTTAAACATGCCCTGGAAAGGTAGAAAATGAACAGCACTAATTATCAAATATTCAAAAAAAGACAACTTTTTAATAGCCTTACTTTTATTTCACATGGATGGTTTACTAAAGACCTTATTACTCAAGGACCGTCTGGTCCTTTCTGTCACTATTATCAGAATTCTGAAAGGCCATGGTGGTAGAGGCATTTTAGGATACACTAAATATCATAAACCACTATAAATCCTGACACCTTCATCAATTCCCATCTATTTGTTCAAAACAAATAAGGGAGTATTTTTATAACCATAACAAGTTTGAACATTATAATACATACAAAGCTTTCATAAGTTTTGCTAAATATGCCAGGATGAAGATACATTGCTGGTACTATGATTAGTGACAAGAATGACAGTGAAGCACGTTTCCCAAAAGTGGTGAGAGGGTAAAGACCACAATTACTCTTGCATCTGTTACCTTTTATTCTGGAACTTTCAGGGTATGGACAGCCTCCGATCACCAGAGTTATCCTTTTCCTTACACTGATGAGGACATTGGTTTGAGAGCTTACAATATGCAAAATAAGCAGGTGAGATGTGACCAAAGTATGTATTGTGAGAGTAGAAATGAAACATAGGATTTTACAAATGAGCTACTCATTTCAAAATGGACCTACATGTTGTATTTTAAACTCTTTACTTCCAGAAGGCAAATCTTTATTATGAATATTTTTCATATAAAAGCATGCACGTTTTTCTCAATTAAATTAGAAAATGTATTATAAAATAATTTATTTAATATTTATCTAGACCTAATATTTGAAAAAATGATAAAACACCATTTAGTGCAGATATATTGTAGCATCATGAATAGTTGTATTTTCCAACACACATTTCTGCAATTGCTAATGTTTGATCTGCATTGTTATCAAGTGTACATAAATTTTTTTTGTGTAATTCTACTTTTGGAAGTATGATACACTGTCTGAGTTCCTAATAGTTGAGCAAGTCCTTCATGACTGACCAGCAAACGTAAAAATAACATGCAAAAATAACTGTATGTATTAGGAGACATGCAATAGGATGTGACTACCTCCTAATTCTGACAATGAGGTTTTGAAGAAGAAGAACTGTCATGAGCAGAACTATTTGAAAGAATAGGAGTTGAGATGAGTGTGGGGAGAATGAATTCTCTATTTCAAGTTATAGTTTAGTTTTTTTTAAGCCCAAGGTAAACAATACAACTATAGCTATGTCCCATGATAATTAATGGGGGTCCAGTGAATTAGAACCATAGTTTAAAAAAGATACCAACAACTCCATAAATTAGTAGGTCTATCAAGCCATGAAAACTACAGAAAAGTGCCCAGACCATAAGAATATAGTATGTTTATTTGTTTATGTATATTTGCTAAGTAGCTCTCTCCTGTGTGCATGTGCGCATGTGCATTTGTTGGTATATGTATACGTATGTAGATAGTGGATGGGATGGTGTCAAATGCTCTCCATTTATTAGAAGCATGATTTATATAATCAAAGATTGAAAAGTCGAACTAGTCTATTCTTTATCTTTATTTTATCTTAATATCATTTAAAAATTAATAAGTAATTCTATCTTAATTATTATTTATCTAAACTTGTTCTACTTAATCCTGCAAAACAGCATGCCTATAATGAAGAATGTGAACTGCAGACTATGACTCCCGGTGGAAGAAAAACTGCACCTAGGTGATAAGCAATTAGTAACATTTATGCAAAATGCTTCTTTTTCTTTAATTTTATCTCTTTGTAAACATTCTCTCTGCTTTAGAGAAATTGAACAAGACAGCTCTGAGCAGAGATGTATTTTATGGATTTTATTGTGATTTTGGGATCATATCTATATTAATAGACTATTCTTTGATGAACATACTTTGATTTTGAGAGAGAAATTGATCTAAGAAATGATTTGTGAAAATCACACTAGAGTCACTGAATTTATTCTTCTGGGTTTTACAAACAATTCTGAGATGCAAGTTTCCCTCTTTATTTTGTTCTTGGCTATCTATACAGTCACTTTGTTGGGCAACTTTCTTATTGTCACAGTTACCACTGTGGATCCTGCTCTTCAAACACCCATGTACTTCTTTCTCCGAAATCTATCACTTCTTGAAGTCTGTTTCACTTTGGTCATGGTGCCAAAGATGCTGGTAGACCTAGTGTCCCCAAGAAAAATCATCTCATTTTTGGCCTGTGGTACCCAAATGTATTTCTTTTTTTTCTTTGGCAGCTCTGAATGTTTCCTTCTCTCTATGATGGCTTACGATCGCTTCGTGGCCATCTGTAACCCTCTCCGTTATTCAGTAATAATGAACAGGCCCCTCTGTTTGTGGATGGCAGTGGGCTCCTGGATGTCCGGTGTTCCTGTGTCCATGCTACAGACAGCTTGGATGATGGCCCTTCCTTTCTGTGGACCAAACGCCATAGACCATTTTTTTTGTGATGGTCCTCCAGTGCTGAAACTAGTCACCGAGGATACAACCATGTATGAGATACAAGCACTTGCCTCCACGCTACTATTTATCATGTTTCCCTTTTCCCTCATTTTAGTCTCCTACTCTCGTATCATCATCACCATTCTGAAGATGCCTTCTGCTACAGGTCGCCAGAAGGCATTCTCTACTTGTTCATCACACCTTATTGTGGTATCCCTCTTCTATGGGACAGCCAGCCTGACCTACCTGCGACCCAAATCCAATCAGTCCCCAGAGAGCAAGAAGCTAGTGTCATTGTCCTACACTGTCATCACACCTATGTTAAACCCCATCATCTACAGTCTAAGGAACAATGAAGTCAAAGGTGCAGTAAAAAGAACAATCACACGAAAAGTCTGGCAGAAGTTAAATATATTTTGAGTCCTATTGTGTAGTGTTTATAAACAAAGTATGAGCATCAATGCCCTCTAATAAAAGCATCAAAAGAAGTAAAGGAAGACTCACTGTTGTTTTATCAATGACACACTGTGGTGAGTGCATCTCAGTGCATTGTGTAGGGTCCTATCAAGAAAGAAATGTTTCTCTCGACTCAGGACAGTTTAAAAATGAGTGGACTATTTAAATATAGTGGACAAAACTGGATAATTTTCTGTAAACCATTCACACATTGGAAATCCTATACCTCTTGGCCTGAAAGGGAAAATAGGAGCATTTACTAGAAGTTGAAGGATGCTCCAAGTACAAGAAAAAGCCACCTACTAGGAGCTGTGTTCTTTATAGAGGAAAGCAGCTATCTCAGCCTTCCTTATTCTCTTCTGACACACAAACCTATGCTAGCTTCTGTACCTGAACAGAATCAGTCTGAAACTTAATCTGAAAGAGAAAGCCTGCATGTCCATTGACACAGTATGTAAAGATCAACCTTCTGGGACACAGAGCTGTATAAGAAAAAGGTAAGAAAAGTTATGAAGTGTGAATGAAAATACCCACCACAAGCCTCTATATATTCTGCATCTAAGGAATACAAAGATAAATATCCCCCAACTGGATGTGTTCACACCACAATCTCGTTTCTTCCATTTCTCCATCCTGTCAAACTATGGGGCATAGATACTTATGTATCCAACGTGTTTTTTCTTTCTCCGAAATCTATCACTTCTTGAAGTCTGTTTCACTTTGGTCATGGTGCCAAAGATGCTGGTAGACCTAGTGTCCCCAAGAAAAATCATCTCATTTTTGGCCTGTGGTACCCAAATGTATTTCTTTTTTTTCTTTGGCAGCTCTGAATGTTTCCTTCTCTCTATGATGGCTTACGATCGCTTCGTGGCCATCTGTAACCCTCTCCGTTATTCAGTAATAATGAACAGGCCCCTCTGTTTGTGGATGGCAGTGGGCTCCTGGATGTCCGGTGTTCCTGTGTCCATGCTACAGACAGCTTGGATGATGGCCCTTCCTTTCTGTGGACCAAACGCCATAGACCATTTTTTTTGTGATGGTCCTCCAGTGCTGAAACTAGTCACCGAGGATACAACCATGTATGAGATACAAGCACTTGCCTCCACGCTACTATTTATCATGTTTCCCTTTTCCCTCATTTTAGTCTCCTACTCTCGTATCATCATCACCATTCTGAAGATGCCTTCTGCTACAGGTCGCCAGAAGGCATTCTCTACTTGTTCATCACACCTTATTGTGGTATCCCTCTTCTATGGGACAGCCAGCCTGACCTACCTGCGACCCAAATCCAATCAGTCCCCAGAGAGCAAGAAGCTAGTGTCATTGTCCTACACTGTCATCACACCTATGTTAAACCCCATCATCTACAGTCTAAGGAACAATGAAGTCAAAGGTGCAGTAAAAAGAACAATCACACGAAAAGTCTGGCAGAAGTTAAATATATTTTGAGTCCTATTGTGTAGTGTTTATAAACAAAGTATGAGCATCAATGCCCTCTAATAAAAGCATCAAAAGAAGTAAAGGAAGACTCACTGTTGTTTTATCAATGACACACTGTGGTGAGTGCATCTCAGTGCATTGTGTAGGGTCCTATCAAGAAAGAAATGTTTCTCTCGACTCAGGACAGTTTAAAAATGAGTGGACTATTTAAATATAGTGGACAAAACTGGATAATTTTCTGTAAACCATTCACACATTGGAAATCCTATACCTCTTGGCCTGAAAGGGAAAATAGGAGCATTTACTAGAAGTTGAAGGATGCTCCAAGTACAAGAAAAAGCCACCTACTAGGAGCTGTGTTCTTTATAGAGGAAAGCAGCTATCTCAGCCTTCCTTATTCTCTTCTGACACACAAACCTATGCTAGCTTCTGTACCTGAACAGAATCAGTCTGAAACTTAATCTGAAAGAGAAAGCCTGCATGTCCATTGACACAGTATGTAAAGATCAACCTTCTGGGACACAGAGCTGTATAAGAAAAAGGTAAGAAAAGTTATGAAGTGTGAATGAAAATACCCACCACAAGCCTCTATATATTCTGCATCTAAGGAATACAAAGATAAATAAGATGATATGCTTTAAGTAACTTTTTTTTTTTGCTTGTCTGTATTTTTTAAATTTTTTTTTATTATCATCATAATCTTCTTTATATTACATTGGATTAAAAGGTCGAAATTTGTAGATGCCAAGAACTATGGTGCAAATTATTTATACAAGTCATATGTTCAGATATGTTTATTCAGTAATTTTTTTAGAATTTATTATTGGTGGCAAAATTCTGGAGTTTCATGATCATTGAATAATTTTTCATTAATTATTAAGTAATCAGCTATTCTTAAAGTTTAAATAATAACCATTTGCTTGACAACATAGTGAAGAAAAAGAGTTATAATAATAACAGGCCATTATTGAGGCACTAGCTTTATCTTTTATTTTGCCAAGGGCACATGCTTTCACCAGAGAGAAAGAGACAGAGAGAGAGAGAGGGAGAGGGATAAAGAACTCCCCCAACTGGATGTGTTCACACCACAATCTCTTTTCTTCCATTTCTCCATCCTGTCAAACTATGGGGCATAGATACTTATGTATCCAACGTGTTTTTCAAACCACCTGTGCTAGGATTCGAACTTCACTGTCAACATTATAGGATCTGGCTCCATTAACCATTTGTCCATGGACCAGCCCCCAAATATCTGTTTCTTTAAGTCTTTGCCCTTTATCAGTATTTTCATTTATTAAGCCTATTTCAAATATTCTTGAATTAATGTTATTAAATTCAATGACTATTAGATACAACTCTATTACAATAATTTTCTACTAGTTTTATGTGATTTATGAGTAGATTGGGATATTATAGTATCAACTTAGTAGTGCACATGTATGTATTTAATAAGTTAGCACAGTAAGATATATGCCAGAGTAACCAACAAATGAAAGAAATTTACTAGTGCAACTGACACATAATTAATATCTGAATGTTTGAGATTATTCTCAGAATACTGTAGAAAATATAGATTGAATAATACATGTTCAATGGAATGTTTTAGTCATGCATATATGTACTGAAATAAATGTGAAATTAATTTCTTTCTGAAAGATGCAAGCAAGAAGTGATAGTAAGTCATATACATATTTCATGTCCCGTGTGGTTTATGGTTCAGATGATAGCTATGTCCAGAAATTGGTAATATAATTATGCTTCAGATAGATTTATTAAAGTTTATATAAGTTGCATAGCTACAAAGTCTTCATGGTATTCATTTTTGTTTTTATATTTCATACTTAATTTATAAGTTGATTTTCTTCTTGAAATTTTCAATTAACAGTGTCATTATTATATCCAGAGAGATAATTTGAAAATGTTCTTTGTTGGGGTAGCCTCTCTAATAAGTGCCATCTAACATTGTGATTACTGACAGAAACTCTAAAACTACCTCTGAAGCAAAATATTTTATCATTGTTTTTATAGTGGTATGATGAACTTTTTGGTTGTAGTAGAAAACATTTTGCAAGATTTTCTTCCCAAGTTTAAAATTCCACAGGTCACTTCCAAATGTATGCCCTCATTTTACTGTTTACAAACAATTCTAGAAATATCTCCACTAATTTATTTTTATGTTTTTGGCATAGGTTGTGTGTGTGTGTGCTCCCTAGAGAGAGACAGAGACAGTGAGGGGGGAGTGAGAAACCCTCCACAGGGTATGACCATGCTGCAGTCCCTTTTCCTCCATTCTCTTCTGGATTTGGGGCATGCACACACACACAATTTCCTGGCTTGATTTTCAAGCTGCCAGGTCCAGGACTCAAACCATAGTTGGCCATGTGGGAGTCCAGTGACCTAAACATGACCCCACCTGCAGGCCCTTCCACTAAATGTTTTTAAGATTGAGCATTAAAGATGTTTTCAAAGGCAAAATTTGACACAGCTAAGGTAAGAAGGCTAGGTTATATATTATAACCCAATACTGTTGCATACATGGTAACTATGGTGAAAAAGAAAAAGCAAGCAACACTGTTCATATTCTGATATAGCTTAAAAATTTTATTTTTAGCATCATTTAAGTCAAATTAGTGAATATAATCTGATGTTTACTATTTCTACATATTTATGTATATAAAAACACATTTTTTTTAAAGAGAAATTTTTGCTATGTGGTGCGTGTGCTCTCCAGACAGGCAGAGAGAGAGACAGAGGGACAGAAAGTGAGAAATCACTCCCAAGGGAGATTGCCAGGCTACGATCACTTATCCGCCATTCTTCTCCCAGGACCCAGAACACACACACATAGGCACCTGGTGTGAGTTTTAAGCCACTGGGTCCGGGATTCTAACTGTGGTCAACTACGAGGGAGTTCAATGATGTAACCATTATGCTATCTGCTGGTCTCTCTCTATGTATTTTAACATGCATAAATAAAACTGTCCTAAAGAAGTTATGAATTTGGCTAGGAGACAGACAGAACTCAAGTACACTCAGTTAAAAATAAAATTTTGTGATGAAGTTTTAATACAAAATTTTCAGGTGCCAAAATCAATGCTACAAAAATATAAAGGCATACACACTCATAAACTTGTATTATAAATTTATAGTGTCAGTGAGTATTGTGGATTTTCTAATTATGGAGAGAATAAAGATTATGTAAAATAAAATATAATAGGATTCTGTGGAAAGAAACCTTGAAATTTGGAAACAAGTGAATTAGAATTCAGAATTAAATAATAACAATATAAGAAATTATTATTAAAAAGTTTATGGAGAAATATATTTTGAAAAAATTATGTATTTAAGTCTTTTGCATGAAAATAAACTCATATGTTAATTCATTTTTTCTGTGATCTCTTTGAAGTATACTCATATTGGTCAGCCATGAGTAAGCATTTCTGCTCAGGCTGTTGGGAAGTCATGTGAATTCTTATTGCTTTATGACACTTCACTACATTCAGAAAAGAGGGTGTAGTGATTTT